TCATTCAGTAAACTGTCCCGTCGGGAAATATGTCGCGACGTCACACAGTGGAGTCTCTCTGATTGGTTGACGCGGCGCGTCGAGCTGCAAAAGTTCAGATTTTCTGACTTCAGTGATTTGAGCATCAAACACGTTGAACGCTCAGATCGTTCAAATCGTGCTTGAGGCACCGCAGCACTTCCCGACGCTGATTGAAGCGCGTCCACCATAGACTTTGCATGTAAACCTGAGGCTCCTGATGCTGAAATCACGTTCGGTGTGAACGCACCATAACACAGAGATGGCTAAAATTTAGTTCATTTAACAGATAGAGCTACCATTTGGCGTAGTAGTAGCTGAGAGTCATCCCCAACACATATTCAGAGCACTAACTGATCTCACAACAGGTCGCACATTTACAAGGTTCTATCAAACGGGCTACAGAACCAGGTGTAAATCTATGGAATGAAAGGAGGCAGGCGATATGCATTCCTCCTCGTTTGTCGAGTCCAGATCCTGTCAGCCTCTGCTGCACACCTCCCATCAGCTGTCCGCGACACGACTGAAATGCTAATCACTCCGGGCCGGTTCTGAAGGAATCAGAACTGAAGAGTCTCATCACCTCGTCTGGAAAATTTAATTTCATGGTTTACGGCACGGCCGCTCTCTGAGAAACATCCCCCTCTCAGAGCGCTTTAGTTCCGTTTGTAACGACGGTCTCTGAGCGAGGAGCAGACGATGAACGGACCCCACCTCTTTACCAACCGGTCCCGCTTGCCCCCGCGGGCCTTTGGTGCCCTCAAGTCCTCGTTCGCCCTTCGGTCCCTGAGCTCCAGGACTCCCACAAGAAGCCAAGTCCCCCTGTCAAGACAGAGAGATGTGAAACCCGAAACAGTTACTTCCTGTTAGATTTTAGGGATAAAAAACAGGTTAGAGTGGAGACTGACCTGATCTCCTTTCCGTCCAGGTGGACCTTCARGTCCTCGTTGACCTGGGAGACCCTGATATAAAAAAAGTGACTTTATTATAACCTACACCAGCGTAAGACAACACTCATATATAAACAAGTTGGTTTTATTTTAAATTAAAAGCATCCCAACCAAAAAATGCCAACCTGTGGTCCATCTGGTCCTGGTGGACCCGGGTCCCCTGGTGGTCCGAGGAAACCCTGGATGTTTCAATATAAAACCAGTCATTTAAAACGTACAATAAAAAAATCATACCTAGTTTATTTACTCTGGTGTACCTTGTGTCCTTTGTCCCCTGCTGTCCCCGCTGACCCGTCAGGACCATGCGGGCCCTGATTTGTCAAATCAAATAAAACTTTATTTATAAAGCACTTCGCATACGATAAAATGTAGAGTTTTTACAGCGACACATAAACAGCTGAAAACAGCAGTCGATGGTAGGTACCCACTCACTGGGATTCCTGCCGGACCCTGTGCTCCCTGAGGCCCCGGGGGTCCGATGCTTCCTCTAGGTCCTGGTTTGCCTGTTCCCCCATTGGGACCTGGAAGACCAGGAGGGCCCTGAAAGATCAAAGGCACAAATATTACTGTTTGTATTTGCATTTTATACAGGATATTTTATTTATTGCTCCATTTGCAAAAATATATTTGTGTTTTTAATCAATATTTATTTGATTTAAATTTCTTTGTTTCTTCCATCATCTTTGAATCTACATTATGACCCACTGACACAGTTCTACATTATTGTCTTCTGTTTCTAATCTCCATAAATCAGATGAATTACAAACCACAGGCAGAAGCAAAACACGTCAAAGAATTTTGTTTTGATTTTCTGCATCTTTGGAGCTCAACAAAGACTGAATACTAATATTTGTTCAAACTGCCAAACCAACTTTAAAAAGAATAAAATAAAATGAGAATAAATCTGCTGTATTATATATTTATTGGTTAAGTTTTAGCTGATTTATTCAAGTTTAATAGTTTAGATTTTTATGTCAAATCTTAACTATAAAACCAAAAGAAAATGTGTGTTTTTGACATTTTGATTAAAAGTGCAAAACCTGCAGATCCCATAAAAACCGAAACAAGATGCCCAGATAAAAACGTGCAAGTCTTACTTGTGGGCCCTGAAGCCCTTTCAGTCCTTCATCTCCAGGTCGACCCTTGCAGAAAATAAAAGGCTTATTTTAAACTGAATACAAGTTAAGATTGAAGTGTTGGTTCTAATAGAACAACGTCTGATCCAGATTTAACGTCTTATTCTCACCGGAGGTCCTCGGGGTCCCTTCTCTCCTGCAGAACCTGGTAAACCCTGAAAGGAAACAAAACCTTGTGACTCAGAACACTTAATCACATCAACAACTCGATGAGCACAGAGACTCTTACTTTAGACCCTGGCTTCCCAGAAGGACCAGGTAAACCTTTTACACCTGGCTCACCCTGGTGAGAAGGGAGAAAACAATAACAAAAATTCATACCTGCAACTCAAGAGACAAAACTAAGAATCCTTACCAAAGTTTTCAGAGATTTTGGAGACTCTTTGGAAACATTTTTAAGAGTGATGGGCATAGCTAACCAAAATGTTAGCTTCTAAAACCACTAACAGTTTCACTAATGCTAAACCAATAACAGGATAAAAAATAAAAATTAAAGGAAGTTAACGCTAAACAGCATAAAAATATGTAATAATTGTGGAAGAGAACAAAACAACAAAAATAATTTGCAGATGTTAACGCTAAATCACTGAACACATCAACAATTTAGCAGAAGTTTACACTAAACAGGTACAAAAGTTAGTGGAAGTTATTGCTAAACAATTAAACAGCAAAAATTAACGCTAAACTGCACATCAAAATTTTTTTGGAAGACAATGCTAAACAGCTAAACAAGTATAAAGAATTGGTGAAAGGTAACAATAAACAGCAAAACAAGTAAAAAATAAAAATAAAAATTGTGGAAATTAATGCCAAACACAAAATAATAAAATAATAATAATTGGAAGTTGACGCTAAACAAAAAAAATATATAAAAAATGTGTGGAAGTAAATGCTAAGCAGCTACTAAAGTAAAAAATTTAGCCAAAGACAATGTTAACCAGGTAAACAAGTAAAAATATTTTGGAAAATTAATTCTAAACAGCTACACAAGATTTTAAAATCGTGGAAGTTAACACTAAACAGCTAATCGCTAACCGCTGCGACTAAGTCTGCATCGTACATTTTCGTCTCTTTGGAGTTGAAAACTAGTGGCAACAACACAAACATGTTGATGTTAACATGGTAGCTAGCCGTTAGCCAACTTAAAGTTGACAAAACATAATTTAGTGAAGCTAAATGTCCACGAATGTTTTTAAACGTTAGCGAAAAAAGCTATTCTGCAAAACAAAACAAAACAAAAATTGTTCTGCTATTAGCTGTCAGCTGATTAGCAGAACCATGCCCACCACTGATTGTGAGCAATTTGTTGACAGCAATTACAGTACAGAGAAATACTGGGTTTAGCAAAACACAAAAAACAGATGGTGTCATACAAAAAATGTAAAAATATTGGCTTAATTACTCAAACTATTAGGAATTGTTTAAGAATGTGGATAAATAAATCTTGTTCTGATTAGCTGCTAGCTCCTTCATGATTCTCCAACCTGAGATCAACGATACTGACTGATCAAAAAGAAAAAAATAGTATAGGTCTTCTGGACGGGTTCTTCTCTAATGAAACGTTTCGTCTCTCCTCCAAGAGACTTCTTCAGTCTGAGAGTTTCAGGCAAAATTCAGGCTTTTAAGCMCTGCCTCCATGTGACTGATTCTCACATCACATGGCTATCGTTGACACCTAATTAACACCTATTGTTAACAGGGGGTGGAGTGATACTGGCAATTGCAGCACTGTAGGAGGGGGACGGTTGGAAACTGGCGTGTATCGTAAGCCCACCCACACAGACCAATATTTGTGTTTTGACTCCCACCACCCACTGGAACACAAGTTAGGAGTGATCAGGACTCTGTACCACAGAGCAGACAGTGTCCCTACAAACCCAGGAGCCAGGGAGAAAGAGAAATCACACACACGACAGGCCCTGGAGCAGTGTGGTTRTCCTGACTGGGCTTTCCTGAAAGCAGACAGGAAACACAGACAGGATTCCATGCAACCTTCAGGTGAAAATGAAGACCCCAAACCCAGACCCAAACCAGTGGTTATTCCGTATGTTGCGGGTGTTTCGGAGAAACTGAGATGTTTATTTTCTAAACATGATGTCCCAGTGGCTTTCAAACCCCAAAACACATTACGGCAAAGGCTGATTCACCCCAAAGATCCGGTGCCCCGGCACAAACAGAGCAATGTTGTATATGCTGTTAAGTGCCAGGAGGACTGCGACCAGTTATACATCGAGGAAACAAAGCAGCCACTGTTCAAAAGAATGTCCCAACACAGACGAGCTACATCTAATGGCCAGAACTCTGCAGTTTTCACTCATTTACAGGCCAGCGGTCACTCTTTCAGAGATGAGGATGTTGAGAGAGGAGTAAAAGAAGCCATTTTTGTGAAGAAAGACCGTCCATCATTAAACAGAGGTGGAGGCCTCCGTTTTCAGTTGTCCCCCTCCTACAGTGCTGCAATTGCCAGTATCACTCCACCCCCTGTTAACAATAGGTGTTAATTAGGTGTCAACGATAGCCAAGTGATGTGAGTATCAGTCACATGGAGGCAGGAATCAAAAGCCTGAATTTTGCCTGAAACTCTCAGACTGAAGAAGTCTCTTGGAGGAGAGACGAAACATTTCATTAGAGAAGAACCCGTCCAGAAGACCTATACAATTTTTTTCTTTTTGATTTTTTACCTGGATTACTGAGATGCATCAGGACAGATACTGACTGATAACTACACAACACAACCCCATTAAGAACTATCCTTTCACACTAAATGAGTCCAGGATAAACTCACCCTTTCTCCCAATAAACCTGGAGGCCCACGAGCGCCCACATTCCCAGTTATTCCCTGATGAAAACAAAAAGAAAAAGTAATTTTAGTTAAGATCACAAACGTGAAATTTAAAGTTTCTGAATTGTTTTGGATTTCTAAAACATGTATTTTGTATGCAATGCTGAGGAATCACTTACATACATGCCAACTAGACCCTGAGGTCCTTCCACACCGGACTTCCCTGTAAACCCCTAAAAAAATACACACATTTCTGCACATTACACCACATCTGTAAAGACTCACATACCTGTGTAAGGATATGACGGTGGTCTTGGCAGCTGTTTAAGGTCTCACCTTGTCTCCTGGAGGTCCTGGTAAGCCTGGGCCCCCCGTTTTTCCTGGCGGTCCCTGACAGATAAAAACAAATCTAATCAAACCTTTTCACTACCCTCATTTAAAAGTTTGATGCACTCAATAGTATAAGATCACTGTACTTGCTTTTAATTTCCTTTATTTTATTTTTTGTTTTCCTGGTTTATAGTGTACAGCATGTCTAATTGTAATCTATTCTGTTTGTGTCGTATCTTTGTTTTAACATTGTTCTGACATTTTGTGTTGTACTGCTGCCTCTTGACCAGGTTGTTTTTGTAAATAAGTGGTTCTCAGCTGACTTACCTGTTAAAATAAAGGTTATATAACCTGTGTGCAGGACTGAATACGCCACATCTGACTATGTGCTATTAGCTTTACGCTAACAGTAAAAAACATTTGTAATATTAGACAATTAAAAATATGTGGCAAAATGAGTCAAAATGAGTACASGCTAGAGTGTAAAATAAGTCAAAATATTAATTTCGCCATTTTAAAAACCTAGTTAGCACATATGCTCTTAGCATACATGCTAAGCGAAGCAAATAATGTCAAAAAAGTTCAAGTAAGAATAGCAAAATTACCATAAATTATCTCAAATATTAGCAATTGGTGAGTCACTAAAATAATATGCTAGCATTAGATGCTAAGCTAAGTAAAGTGTTTTAATACCATTAAGCTAACTAGCATGCTAATTAGCATAAATTCTTCAGGCAGGAATCTTATGTGGTTTTTTGTGTTCAATATATATTTTTAAATGACTCAATTTTTTTAAACTGACATAATAAAATGTTTTTAGTGTTTTTTTTTTTTTTTACAATAAATTAAGACAACAAAGCATACCGGTGAACCTGGTGGGCCGTCGGCTCCTCTCTCTCCAGTAACACCTTGAAAGCCCTGAAAAAGCAGGACAGGAACAATAAAAGACGTGTTGAAAAGCTGAAAAAAATAATCTGCCATCATAAAAATGCACGTGTCAATTAAACTATAATTTCATCCTCTATAAACAGATGCTGTGAACCATTAAACTCTGAGTGTAATTCACTAATCATTGTTTAATCTGGTATTTAATTGGCCATTTTAATGAGAGTTCATGAGGCATTGCCCCTGAATGCAATTAGTGATAAAGAATCTATAATTAACACTTAACTACAGCAGTTAATAATGTGAAGCTGCATTTAAAGCTTGTTGTCTGTTTTATTGTTCACCTCCTGACCTATAAAACCCTGCGCTCTGCCCTCTTGTAAAAGTAAAATAGTTTTATTTTTCCGAACTGCAGCTTGAAATGATGTAAATAAATGAGCTAACAGTCTTACCATCGGCCCCTTAATGTCAGCACTGCCATCTGCACCAGACAAACCCTGAAACAAAGACGGAAAACGGCACCATTGTTATTTCTACCTGCAGAAAACTCCAAATAAATACATATTTTGTGKTTTTTTTATCTTTATGTTATGGCACCATTTATATTTTTAATGATTCTTGCATTGTTGAAGCTCTATTAAAGTCAAAACAGTCACGTGGAACGTATAAAATTAACCATAAATCAGTATCTCGCTGCTTCCTGCTGACTAAACCAKCTTGTAGGAGACACTTTTGACAGTTTGGGGACATTTCAATCTTAGCAGTGAGTCATAATGTCAATATTAATATATTTTTAATATATTTTATTTTAGCTTGTGTATGAGGAGTTGATAAAACACTTTACAAGGCAGGAGGAAAATAAAAACAAAACAGACACGGCATTTTTGAGGTGATGGGTGATTTAAATATGATAGAGAATGGGAACCTGTGTACCAGGCTTTCCTTCTGGTCCCTTTGGTCCAGGTGGTCCGGGCAAACCCTGCAGGGAATCAAAGCACAGACAGGTGAAAACTGTTCATCCTGTAGAGGCGTCAACATCTAAATACAAACAGATGTGAGAGGAAGTAAACAAAACCAGACCACCAYCCCTGAAACGGTTAAAACCTAATAATAATCAGATTTATCAGGAGCTTACCGGTGGGCCTGGTTGACCAGGGTGACCCCTCAGTCCTGCCACACCCTGGATAAAAAAATAAAGACGCAAAAACAAGATCACAGACGAACATTAACCCCAGTTTAAAACAAACAGATTGTTAGTTTATCTAACCTTGTTTCCTCTGGGTCCAGGTSTGCCGGTCCGTCCGTCTTGTCCTCTGTTCCCCTTCAAGGACAGAATAGAAGACACTGAGTCTGATCAGCAGCTTAATCCTGATTTGTGTTCATTAGTTTTATCTGTGTGACGACCTTGCCACTGGCAAATTTATTTTTATGATTGAACTGCATGCTATAATTTTAAATTATATGACACAATGGCCTGCCATACTTGGTAATTACACCTGTCATACCTCATTAATTATATAAAGTACTGCGTGCCATACTTTTATATGACAAACAACCTGCCACACTTCTTTAATTATAATATAATTAATGAAGTATGGCAGGTTGTTGTATCACATTATGATACAACAAATATGGCAGGATGTTGTATCATATTATGATACAACCACCGGCCATATTGTTAAATCATATGACACTATGGCTGTGTCCAAAACGACAGGCCGGGTCCTCCGGAGGACCCAGACTACCCGGTCTCGGCGGGCCGGGTCCTTGGTAGAACGGGAAGACCGGAAAAAAAGAGGCTGTGAATTTGGACGGTCTAGCCTCCCCTCCTTACCCCGGCGTACGTCATGTCACCTAGCAACTGTGACGACGCTAAACAAGCAAACTTAAATCAAAATTAGAAAAATATCAATACATTAGCATTATTAATATCACAAAACTATAAAATTAACTTAAAGGTATCATTTGAAGAACTAATTGACCCGCTGTAGGTTCATGTTTATTTCGTGTTTTTTATGACGAAAAAAATAATATTTAAAAACATGTCCATACAAATGATAAAAGTATTAGAATTACAACCGCTAATTTTTTTTTAATTTTTATATCACCATATTTTTATTTAAAACGTATTCTTTTCTCTCGCTTTGTCCGCCATTACTAGCATAAAAAAATCTCCGGTCAGGCCGCAATGCATTATGGGATATGCTGGGCCAGGAAGGATCCATCAGACCTGTCCTTCGATTCGGGGAAAAAGAAGGACGTATTTGTCGGCCGCATCGGAGGAGTCTTCGGTTTTGGACGTCCTTCGTCGCGGCGCTGTGACGTATGCGGCCGACAAATTCGGCCTTAGGAGGACCCGTCCTGCCGTTTTGGACACAGCCTATGGCCTGGAATGCACAGTGATTTTTTGATACTTCATGCCATATATTTTAATTACATAATACAATGGTCTGCCATATTTAGTTAATTACATGAAAACTACCTGTCGTAACCCATTAATTATATAAAGTTTGGCATGCCATACCTATTATGATACTACCTGCCATACATAATTATATGGTACAACAGTCTGTCGTATTATTTAATTTCATGATACAATGTCCTGCCACAGTTTTAGTTAAGATAAAATAACCTGCCATACTTGATTATATTATATGAACGGCCTGTCATATTTTGAAATTATAAGACACAAAAACTGCCATACATAGTTAATTTGTATGATACAACATGCCATATTTTTTTAATTATATGATACAATGGCATGCCATACATCGTTAATTACGATACAAACTATGATACAAACCTGACATATCTTGTTAATTATATAAAAGTACAGCATGCCATGCTTTAATTATATTATACAACGGCATGCCATACAGGTTAATTATATGATACAACAGAATGCCAGACTTATTTAATTATATGATACAAGTAGTTTTGAACTCTTTTTTTTTAAAATCATTTTTGAATCTTTTTGGTTCAGTTTAAAAAACATTTTTGAACAAACTTTATGGCCCCAATTTAGCTCCAMAGATTTGTCTTCAAGTTGCTCATAAAGTTCATGGACCTCCAGTTGGAGGTCTTTCTTATAACCCTTCCATTAACTTCCATTAAATTGGAAATGAAAAACTGCGACTCCAGTAGTGTCACGTGACTCAAATGACAATTGTTTAAATTGGACTTCTCTCACCCTGACATTTTTGATGAAAAGGAGAAACAACATACGCATGTCTTGGAGCAACAAATGAAGTTTGTCTTTAAACACACAAATCATCACTGACCTTTGACCCCAGGATCCCCTCTTTTCCCGGTGGTCCAGTCTCACCATTTGTGCCCTGAATCAGCAAATAATATATTAAAGAAATGATCTGACAGTAAAGTTTTTGTTTTGAATCAACATTTTTACCTCAGCTCCTCTGGTGCCAGGGGAGCCACTGGCTCCTGGGAAACCCATTAAGCCAATGGGGCCYCTCTCTCCTTGGGGACCCCTGATGCCTGCTGCCCCCTGAATACCCTAAAAGGCAAAACAATTATACTTTTACCTATCAAGTAAAGAATCTGTACCTGTAAAGCAAAAACTGAAAAACCCACACACAGATCAGCCAGAACATTATGACCATGTCACATAAAATCAGAAGCACTGCTGATCTTTAACACTTTACATTACTGAAACAACAAAAAACTATTTTTACCTTGTCCCCTTTAGGTCCTGAATCCCCTTTGTCCCCATCAGGTCCTCTGTTGCCCTGATACAAGAAAAAAAAAAACAATAGATAAAAGGTTGTAAAACCCTAACTTAGGAGTGTCTAAATCAAAATAAAAGCTTACGGTGACTCCTGGAAACCCAACATGACCCCGGCTCCCCGATGCGCCCTGAAAACATGATGAAAAATAAAAAAACAATAAATAAATAATCTTATTTTGAATGTACTTATTTTACCTGATCAATATGACATGTTAGCTTCAGTTTAATTTGCTTTTTATAACCATTAATGTTAATTAATAGGAGTGAAAAACAAACAGTGATGGACAGTGATCCAGTCAAGCCAGCAGGTGGCGCTGTTACACTGCCGTTTCTCTTCCAGGTTATTTATGATTWATGTTTTTTATAGGTTCAACTAAATATCAGAACAAAACATGTCTTTGTGTCAGGCTGCTGGTAACAATGCATCCAAACATTCAAATTTAAAATCGGTTCTTTTAAAAAAACTGGTCAGGTAAAAAGTCCCCCAGAAAACTTTGAAAAATGTTCATCTAGATTACTAAAATTTGAGTGACTGCTTGCAAGGAAAGTATGAGGGATTACTCAGCTTCTTGCACATTTTATTCACAAATGATCTGTTTACTTAAATAACATTTTACTTTGAATAGACATTGAAATGAAACTCACCACAGGCCCCTCAAAACCTGGATCCCCTCGAGCTCCCATGGACCCCACAGCCCCCTGGTATTAAACAGAAAGTAGGATTTAAAATAAGAGAACAATCAACATAAGAAATGAAGGCGTCACAAAAAAATCTTTAAAACACTAATTTTTTGATGAAACCATGACATGAAATCATTTGTCAACTTACAGGATCTCCTTTAGGTCCAGGAGCTCCTATTAGACCTGGATGTCCCTGTCAGGATGCACAGACTAGATTTAACTTCCTGTGTTTCCTTAGCAGTAAAGTGAACAAAGCAGCGACCAAAGGTTAATGGTTTTGATTTAAAATGTACTCACCGGGGGCCCTCTGGGTCCTGGAGGTCCCATTTGTCCCTCTAAACCTGGAGGCCCCTGGTTGAAGAAATTGAAGTGAATTAATTTTATGTCAAACACCAACTCCATATAATAACTGTAGTTCACATTTAAACAAACTTTATACCCGAGGACCATAGGGGCCAATGCTGCCAGCTGGTCCCACGTCTCCCTGAAAGAAAAAAAATCAAGTTTTATACAGAAAGACTGGGTAAAGAATAAAGAATAGGTTTGAAGCCCTAACTGAGAAAAAAATATTTGTATATGTATTTACATGAAAAGAACTGGGCCAAAGATGCAGCCTTGAGGTACACCAGAACTAAGTGAGGGCATGTATTTTCTAAAATTAAAACCTAATTGTGTTTATAAGCCTCTCAGAATCAATACAAATTTTGAAAATATAAAAAAAGTTTCCACTAATATGCTTCCTGCATGTAATTTTCTATTATTTAGGAATGGGAAAAGCAAATGACAATTAAGTGATGAAATAATTTAATTTTTTTCATCCATTTATCACATTTAATTAAAACATAATTAATACTTAAGCTGTGATAGTACCCTGGAGCCATTAACTCCTTTGGCGCCAACTTGTCCTGTCACACCTGGTGCTCCCTGTAACACAAGTGAAGATATGAATATATAGAGCATACATTTTATAAGCAGTTGTGACTAAACTCTCAACCTACAGGCAGTCCTGCAGGACCTGGGGGGCCATCCAGTCCATTTTCCCCCTGGTGACAGAAAATGAGATGATAAAGGCCATAAACTAATCCAAATTTCTTAATTTTTCAGTAGTTTGAACAATCAAACAATAAACAAAATTATTTAATGATCTTATTGGCATAACCCCATTAATGATAAACCCTTTAACACTTTGATTAACGGTCGTCATTGTCACTGTGACTTTGACAAATGTCCAAAATGTCTTGTGCTTTTAGACTCGAACAGTGTTTTACTCACATCATGTCCAATAGGTCCCTCTAGCCCGATGCCACCTCGGAATCCTGGCATTCCCTACAGAGATGAAAGATGCCAACACAAGTAGCTGATACCTCAACTCTGAGCATCTGCCATCCTATAACTCTAGCAGCTGTTAGCTTGACCCTGAGTAGATGGTAGCTTGACTCTTAGCCGCTGGTAACTTGACTCTTAGCAGGTGTTTACTAGACTACCAGCTGTTAGCTTGAGTCATAGCCACTGGTAGCTTGACCTTTAGCCGCTGGCAGCTTGAGTCTTAGTCACTGGAAGCTTGAGTCTAATGGTGCGTTCACACCGAACGCGATTTCAGCTTCAAAATCGCAGCCAACGCTGAAGTTTGAAGCTTGTGCAC